GTCAGATTCTACGTTTTCATGTCTTGAATTGAGCTATATATGTTTATTTTTGGATAAAAATAATTGCGGATTTAGATTCCTGCATCTGGCTCCCGGGATCCGGGTCCCGGATTCCAGATTCCAGAATCCACCTGTCCATTCTGGGTAGAAATCAAGGTTTGTAAAACTATACAGATTTGTTTCGTCTCTGGACTTTCTTTAGATCAGACCTTATAGATGTAAATAGTTTTGGGTATGAGTTGTACATTTCTCGCTTGTCTACACGGATGTATTTTTGAAATATGTTTTTTTTTTGAAAAAATAATTACATGAAGACACAGGTAATCGATGATGGAAAATAAATTCTGCATGTCTTGGCATGGATAATGATATGTATATTGTCATCAGGTACATGTCTCTTGTACGCATGGCACTCAGGTGCAACTACACTTACGTGATTTTTTTTACTTCATGTTTTCATGCTATACCGCTTTTTTTAAATGGCGCTTCGCTTTTGTCGCTGGTTGTTCAAATGCGTTTGCTTGAAGATTCCATGTGATTTTATTTGAATTGCGTTCTGGCATTGCATCTCGCATACATTCTGACAGCTAAACAACAGGCTTAAAGTTTGCCGATATTTTGTGTATTATCGTTCTTTACTTACGTCCTTTTCAAAATTCGGCGCGATTTGCGTAAGGTTTGAAAATTGTGTTCTTCTAGGTTTGTTTTCTCCAGTATAAAAGCGTTTAAAAGAGCAAGAAGGCGGATTATGCACCAGTAGCAATGAATCAGCGTTCGAAAAATATTGCCTTGTTTTTTTCAAATGTTTTTTTTGCGTTTTGTATTTACATCTGGTTTTGTATTTACAATCTTTTTCTGCCGATCTGCAACTGACACCGGCTCCTTCACGACCATGACAGGCACAGACTGGGCCATAGACCGCATCCACTTCGGAAGCTCCAGCTGCAAGTCGAAAGCCATACGAAGATAGCAATACAAGCTGCACGTCCTGGTGTGCCCAGACACATAGGTGAAGGTGTCGCTGTCACCCTGCCGCACGACCTTCATCGGGCCAAGCCACCCTTCTGATTGGAACATTGCTGCCAGCTTCTCCTTCCAGTGCGCGCCGTGAACGTTGGGAAATTACAGTGGGAGCATGCAAACTTTATGCTCCAAATCTTCCAGAAACAACAATTACTCGTGCGATCCCCATCTTGACCGATCGTTGAGGTCCGGTGGAAGAAGGAGGAAGAGAAGAGATAACATATGATCTAACAAATCTCACCTGACAGGTGGGGACTTAGTTGCTCTGTTCGCCTGCGTCAAACAGAGCAACCAATCGTTTCATAGAGCAAATAGCTTGGAAAAGAGTGGTTTTCGGGTGCTAGTTGCTTTGTTCGACTCCGAGTTGCTCTGTTCGCCTCCGTCCAACAGAGCAACCAAACGTTTGGCATGTGTCGGTTTTGTCTGGCAGGCCGATATGGGTGATGAGTACGATATTATTATTATTACTACTACTACTGCTACTACTGCTACTACTGCTACTGCTACTGCTACTGCTACTGCTACTGCTACTGCTACTCCTACTCCTACTGCTACTGCTACTGCTACTGCTGCTGCTACTGCTACTGCTACTACTACTACTACAACAACAACAACTACTACTACTACTACGACTACTACTACGACTACGACTACGACTACGACTACGACTACGATTACGACTACGACTACGACTACGACTGGACTACGACTACGACTACGACTACGACTACGACTACGACTACGATTACGACTACGACTACGACTACGACTACGACTACGACTACGACGACTACGACTACGACGACTACGACGACTACGACGACTACGACGACTACGACGACTACGACGACTACGATGACTACGACGACTACGACGACTACGACGACTACGACGACTACGACGACTACGACGACTACGACTACTACGACTACTACGACTACTACGACTACTACGACGACTACGACGACTACGACGACGACGACGACGACTACTACTACTACTACTACGACTACTACTACGACTACTACTACTACTACTACGACTACGACTACGACTACTACTACCTGTAAGATCAAAATAGTCTAAAAATACTCCCCGACTAATTTACTCCCGGGGGAGTAAATTACTACCCAGCATTGCCCATAATGCAGTTTGCATTGCTCATAATGCAGTTTGCATTCCTCATAGTGCAGTTTGCATTGCTCATAATGCAGTTTGCATTGCTCATAATGCAGTTTGCATTGTTCATAATGCAGTTTGCATTACAAAAAGGAGTAAATATCGATTTAGTCCGGGGAGTAAATTTAGTCCAAAAGGAGTAAATTTACTCCAGCGACTAAAGACTAAATCCTTATTTTTGACTAAATTACTCCTAGGACTATTTTTAGACTATTTTGATCTTAGAGGTACTACTACTACTACTACTACTACTACTACTACTACTACTAGAAGTATTAATAGTACGCGTTTCCGCGCGCTATGCGCGTTATGCGCGTCTGCGTTTTGCGCAGGTTCCGCGCGTGTTGTTCTGCGCGGGTTCCGCGCGTGTAGCCGCATTCAAATTTCTTAAAGAAATTAATATATTACGACGAATATTACTACTTGGGAACCTTTACAGAATAACCTCGTGGACCTTGAGAACATTTACGTGGAAAACTTGGGAACCTTGAGGGAACCTTTACAATACAACCTTGGGAACCTTGACAACCTTTACATGGGAAACTTGGGAATCTTGAGGGAACCTTTACAATGCAACCTCGGAAAGCTTGAGGAAACCTTGACAATATAACCTTGGAATCCTTGAGAACCTTTTACAATGTAACCTTGGGAACCTTGAGGGAACCTTTACAATACAACCTTGGGAACCTTGGAAAACTTGGGAACCTTCAGGGAACCTTGAAGAAACCTTGAAGGAACCTTGCGGGTAAGTTTTGGGAACCTTGAGGGAACCTTGACAATCTAACCTTGGGAATCTTATAGAAACCTTTACAATGTCACCTTGGGAACCTGGACCACGTCTACTTGGGAACCTTTACACAATAATCTTGGGAACCTTGACAACCTTTACTTGGAAAACTTGGGAACCTTGCAGGGAACCTTGAGGGAACCTTGAGGGAACCTTTTGGGAACCTTTTGGGAACCTTGAGGGAACCTTGAGGAACCTTGGGAACCTTGAGGGAACCTTGGGAACCTTGGGAACCTTTACTTGGGAACCTTTACTTGGGAACGTGGGAACCTTTACTTGGGACCCTGGGAACCTTTACTTGGGAACCTTTACTTGGGAACCTGGGAACCTTTACTTGGGACCCTGGGAACCTTTACTTGGGAACCTGGGAACCTTTACTTGGGAACCTTTACTTGGGAACCTTTACTTGGGACCCTGGGAACCTTTACTTGGGAACCTGGGAACCTTTACTTGGAACCTGGGAACCTTGGGGGAATGGGTTTTGGAGCTGCTCCGGTCTGCTCCGAAACCTTTACTATGGCTGAAGACCCCAAAGCATTCTGCTGTTGGGGAAAAACACAGTGTTTCGCGACTTTCCTACTTTTTCGCGCATCTGCATCTTCTTTCTTCTGACTCTTTCTCTTCTCTGATCTTCTCTCTTCTACTCTCCTCTTCTCTCTGACCCTTTCCATCTCTGCTTTTCATCTGTCCATATTGTCGGAAGTTTGACTTCTAAACTTCCTTCGATTAATGTGGGCAAAACAATTTCATAGACCCCCGAATCATCATATTTATAGGTGGTATGTTTACCATGCCCAGTGGTTGATGACATTGTTTACAATGGCTGATGACCCACCAAGTGACGGATATGGATTGTCCGGACAGGACTCCTGGAACTTGCCACTGGGATCCACAACTTCTGTTAACTGGTTGAATCTCCAAGTTTTCCGAAATCATCGATTTTGGTTAAGCCTCTATCGTACTACGGCTACAATCATCTATGGATTTCAGGATGTGGGAATTTCCTTCCATCCATTGATGATTTTCTGGTTTGGGTCTCATATTTGCAACTTGAACTTCCAGCAAATGGCTGGAGTTCACAAGCCCGGGTTGCTGGCCAAAATGGTTGGTTTCCTCTCAGGTTTCTCAACCATTCTCATGTGGGAAGCATTGAAAATGAGTGCAAATGATTGGACATGATGGGAAAACGATGGGAAACCACCATTGTCAATTTTCTGTGATTGCAAATGATTGGGAGAAATGAGACATTTTGGACCTCAAAACCGCTACATTTTCTCCCAGATTTTACAATCCCCAGGGCTTCTGGGTAAATCATTGAGACCAACAACCAGTATAATCTCCATTAAATCCCATTACTTTTCTATAAAATCCCATGAATTCTACCGTGTAAAACCAAAAAAACATAAAATCCAGTGATTTCACCATTGACCTCTAAAATCCCAGCATTTTCCCATGGATTTTGGACCTTTTCCAACCTTGGAGCGCCAGGGCTACTGGGGTACAACGCGGTCTTGGTGGGCGCCGGCTTCGCCGTCTTCGTGCAGAACTTCCTCCTGGCGGCCGTGGCGACGCTGGTCTTCGGGACGCTGAGCGCGCTGCTGGCGGCGGGGCTCAGTGCCTTGGACGATGGGGTCATTGGCCAACCATCATCAACCATTCTATGGGGCATATTAATGCCTGGTTGGTGGTTTATGGAAAATAAAACATGTTTGAAACCACCATCTTTGTCCAACAAAGATAGACAAAGATGGTGGTTTCAAACATGTTTTATTTTCCATAATATATGGGATAATCCTTCCCATTGACTAATATTTTTCAAGATGTTTAAAACCACCAACCAGATGCTATAGTAACTATGGATAACTGTGGTAACTATAAATGTTATTTGTAATAACTTAGTGATAACCCTAAAATGATTGGAGGTTAATCAATCATTTATAGGGGTAAAATAACAACTGTTAGTGGGGGTTAGGTAAGAGATAGTGGAAGCTATGGGGGTTATTAAGTTAATCATTAACCAAGGTTATTTGTAGTAACACCCTTTAAATATACTGTAGTGGAAACATATGGGGGTGACCCAATTCTATGGGGCTTGTGAAAATATGATCAACCATTCTATGGGATTAATACTATAGTAGATGTTAAACTAATGTAGAATATATATATATAAATGTTATTTATAGTAATGTATAGTTGTTGGCCAACATGTAGTGGGGGTTAACGAACAAAAATGGGGGTTATTAACCAAGGTTATTTGTAATAACCCCCTATCATGATTGATGGTGGTTAACCCAGGCACTACCATTAATCACTTTTTTTTGGGTTATTAGAAATCATTGTGATTGAGTGTTGATTCTCTATGTTGTGGTTTGTTGTAATCCCCAATCGATGCTTGATTGATGCTTGATCAAGTTATTCACCTACCTAATTTGTTGGGGATTACAATAAACCATGACAGATAGAGATACCGTTCTTAACCAACCAACATAACACAATTTCATTGGTTTATTGCGAATATTGAGCTTCTACTAACTTGTCGATGGAATGGCTATGACTCTGACCAAACCAGTAGAACCAGTTCGCAGCCAGCTGCTCAAATGGTCGGTTGCAGTGGATTTTCATAGGGGAATTGGGGATTTAGAAGGTATACCCGGACATATCCAACAAGTATTGGGCTTGTATGATGGAAGAATCATCATCCACTGAATGGGACAAACAAAATGGATTTATGTAGGAAAAATGGTGATATCATGGTGAGTTTGATAATCAAACATTCGATTTTCGTCATCAAGAATTAGATTTTAGTGGTGAATCAGGTTTTGACCACAAGCGAACGGATATAATTAATTGTAATAAGGATATCATTGATAAATGGTGGCTGGTTGACCGGGGTTTGAACATTTAATTTCCGGTTTAAACTTATTTGTCTCCCGTACCTTTCTTTGGTGGAAAAAATGGTGGGATGGCAAATGGGATTTTATGGGGGACCGGGGCAGCCGACTGGTAAATGGTATGATTTTTTCGGTTTTTGGAGGGTGTGCAGAAGAAGGGAACGTGTAGCATTTTTTGGTGGCACCTGAAAATCTTGAAAATCCACCATATACAGGATGGTGCCCCCCAGTTATAAGTTGGTTTATAAGCCCCATTAAGTATAGTTATATCTGCCATAAACCATAGTTATGGGAGTTATAAACCAACTTAGCTAGCTATGGGGCACCACCATATATAGATGATTTTCCCAGCTAGAAACCTCCGTTTTTTTGGGTGGATTTCCCGAAACGATCGCATCTCGTTTGATGATTTTGATGTCCTGAGGTCGCTTGATGAAGCCTCACCTCACCTTGTCTTTCAACGTTCCCTGGGCCGAGTGGGTAAAAACCCATGGGTTTTTCATCAAGCTGCCGGAGGAAACTCCTTGAATTTATGGCACATTGCATGGGACTTAAACCATGGTTTTTTGGTAGACCCTATTTTGAGCCTCATATGAAATCCACCATTTTTAAACTTGCTGTAATTTCGCCATGATTTTTCGGTTCAAATGGCGACTTTCCAGTAGATTTGTGTTTCAAGTTGTTTGTGAATGGTATATCTTCCAAATCTTTCGAACATATTTTGTCTTGCTCGAGTCTCGTAGGTGACATCTTTTCGTAGCTGAAGTATGGATTTGCCTGAATCCGTGGTATTTTCAGGCCTCTTCCAAGGCATCAGTATTTCACCTCTAAAAGGTTGGGTTTAAAAGTCTGGGGTACTATCTACTTTTTTTGCCATGAGATTTGCTGGGGAAAATCCGAGTTTAGATAATGAGATTTTGATGGTACCCGGTTCAAAGCCAAATGGCTTGGTTCATAGCTTCCATGTTTCAGGTAGTCCCATCCCCTTCACCTGATTTCCTTTTTTTTGGGGTCATTTCCAACCCATATATCTCCAGTTGTCGATGGTGTTTAGTACAATAACGGAGTGGCACTTTGGCTATTGAAAGTTAAGATTTAGGGGTGAACAAAAACAACAAATAGATAGCTCCGACGCGCAATTCAAATAATTATCAGTAGTCAGATACGAAAAATACCCATAGAATATAACGCATATACACATAGAATAGAATATGAACATTGATAGTTATACAGTTATGTAAGTTATACATGTATGTTTGACCTATTAGGGGGTATACATCTCATGGTTCTCCAGCATTTTTCCAGTTGCAGGATCAATCCTTTGGAAACTGGGAGTCTTGGAGCATAATCCTGATGGAACTTTTCCGTGTTACAAAAGAATGGCATACAAGATGCCAGTACCATGATGATATAGGATTATATAATATATAATTATATACCATGAATATACCATGAATATACCATAATATTATCATGATATAGTACCATTATATACCATGAATATACCATAATTCAATATAATTCACACTGCCCAGTACCATGATGTCTTGCTGGAAATTCACCCAGGTAGTTCGATGATGTTCCCATTGAAATGTCCGCTTTTCATGGGGGATCTCCCACCCAGCCATTCATATTCCATATCACATCAACATACCATTAATATACCATAAATATCCAATTGAACATCAAACTGAAGTTCCATTCTCAGTCCATTCACATCCCACACATATCCCACTCATATCCCACTCATATCCCATCAACTTCTTCCGTGCAATATCCCATCTTTGGCATCTCTTGTGCCACGATGCCGGCTTGGCATCCATGTAATATCCCAAAAATATCCCAAACAATATCCCAAACACTATCCTAAAAACATCAAAAAACATCCCCCAAAAAATCTTTGGCATCTTCTTCCATAATTTCCATGTAATATCCCAAAAAGGTCTGCGTCTTGTCCGGCTTGGCCCTGATTCACGTCTTGGAGCTGGAGCATCTTCTGCCGAGCCCTGCAGGCCTTGATAGCAAGGCCCATGAGGTGTCTCGGCGTCGAGTTACATGGGATGGTCAAGACATGCTACATATACGATCATATAGGTTATATGAGTAATATTGTAGGTGATATATGTACATATATATATATATACACACATGTACATGATTAGTATTTATAAGTAGTTATAGTAATCACGAATATTTAAGGTGTATATATATATATATAGTCATCCTGGAGTAGATCGAATATTTTTTCAAAGAAATTTCACTGAAATTGGATTATCTCTGAAACTCCCATATTCATCTGCTTCAGGGTGATTAGATATACCCTCTGGTAATTTAGCATAGCTATAGAAAATCACCATTTTAAATAGGTAAACCATCTATAAATGGACCGTTTTCCATAGATATGTTAGTTTACCAGAGGGTACATGTATTATTGTCATTCCGCTATATGGGATTCCAAAAAATAGATAATGGGTATATGATGGGTATATCATATGACCGCTATGAGAGGCGGATGACAATTCCCGAACTTATGGGAATATATACTATGTAACTTGACCATGGCACATACGTCATGTTCATGGACATTGGGATTTTAAGCAACCAAAATATGGTCAAAGTCAATAGACATGACCTACGATGATTCGCAATGGGGAAATCAACATGGTTGGTTTCCAGGGTCATTCATGGTCATGAATGGTGGAAAAGGGGACTTATGAATCAGAGTATTTGATCAGCTACTAATCGCAATCTTTAGGTGGAAAGTGTGTTGTGTTTGAAAACAAAAGTTGAGATTTCACTTGAGAACCTGTTGATCATTGCATTAACGGCAGATATAAGCAGCATCACCGCTGCAAGAATCAGTGCTATTAAAGTTGGAGAAAGATCAAATGCACATCATCGTAATATATCTGGTGCCGTTTCAGGTTCCGTTTCTCATCCCACATCTTCGATCACCATGGCCCAGTGCAAAAGATCTTTCAATGCTGGCGAGGGTTCACTCCAGAACCCCGTGGCTTGCAAGAGAAAGCTGAATGCTTCCACACATCAGGGCTTCATGGCGCCGGTGCTTCATGTCTCCGGTTGCGGCTCTGATGGCTGCAATTTCCTTCGTGGACGATATACGTCCATGCGCTGGCACCATGGCAAACCTCTTTGCCAAAAAGAATTAGCCGATGGCCCGGATGGCTGTGACGTGCCTGTTGTCCTCTACTTTAGGGACCTCCATGCGAGAGCAGTGGTGAGGAATACCTGTACGCCTACAACTCCTTCAATCTCGATCCAGAGGATCTTAGAGTGCCGACACCTGGATGGAAGGATCCCGTTGCAAGGCATGTCAACCTCCGTCTGCGCATCACAAGGTCCCAAAACATAGATGAGCATCGATGGGAGTTCGAGTGTAATGGGATGACCCCTGGCGATGATGAGGAGGAAAAGGATTGGCAGCCCATGAGCAAGGCAATGAGTAACGCATTGGAAAATCGGTGGATCAAGGGTTGGGTTGGTGACAATGGGACGGATGACTTCCAAATCAATGTGAATGGCTGCATCTATATGATTGATACTCACTGCATGTGGCTGTGGCAAAAGGGCCTTCATAGTAACCGTGGCCGAGAGGTCCGGAGGGTTCAGGCTGGCCACATTCAAAAGCGTCTTGTGGAGGAAAGGGACCGTTTCCAGGAGGAAAACAACGAGTTGAGTGAAAGCGTGCTGAAGCTTGAGCTCCTTGGTCACGAAGTTTTCCGCTGCGGTTTTATGTGCTTTATGGCTTTCTTTTTTGAATCCAATGGGGATACTTGTGCCCGTTCCTTCTTGGGTTCATGTTTTGATTTAACAAGATTCTCTTTGAATCCCAGGCATGAAAGAGACGCTTTGATGAACTCAATGATAGACCATGCGACCCAGATGATGCTACTAGAGGCTTGGCGAATGAGTCGCCAGTTGCAGACCCCGATTTGCTCCGAGCTGAGTGATGTCGATGGAACTTTATCCAACATCCAAAGAGCTCTCGTTGCGGCGTGCCCTGCGGATCACCACGGGGATTGCCTTCGCATGAGGAACTTCAGCATCACTCGCATCCAAAAGATTTTGAATGTTGGAATTTGGAAAGACTATGAGTTTCGTAAAGAGAAAGTCCGCAAAGAATTGGATGGGCGTGACAGCGTCCCTGCCGTGACTGGTGGTTTGCCATCACAAGCCTGCAGTTGGGCACATTTGGATGAAGGGATCAATGAGATCTTGCTCATCCACGGTACGACACGGGACAAGATCAATGAAATTGCAAACTTTGGATTTGACGAGCGCCTGGCCCGTGAAAGAGGGCTCTATGGCCAAGGAGTCTACTTCACGGATCAAAGCTGCAAAAGTCGACAGAGTCTACAGTATTCCGGGGCAAAGTGTGGTAACAGTGGTTGCTTCATCATTGCCCGTGCGATCCTTGGGCACCCTTTTCGTGCCCAGGGACCCTTGAAGCAACTGAAGGTGGAACCACGGGTGGACGAAAATGACCCGTCCCTTCCGGTCGTTGTCACTCCGTCATCGCCCTTCCCGGGACTCCTCATGGTGGGCAGCAACAGGTACACCAAGAATTTGTCTTTTGATGGCGCTCAAGCCTATCCAGAAATGATTGTGTATATACTTCAGTTGCTAAGCCTGTAAGCAAATATCGGGACTGCCATCGCCAAAGTCGCGATGTTGAGTCCACTCTGCAAGTGGTGTGGAAAATGACAATCCAATCTGCGATGAGATGGTCTTCAAACCAGGCTAGTTTTGTGACAGCAAGTAGGGACTCTCAACGTGTTTCTCTTGGCAGGGACCAAGAAAGAAGGCTTAAGGATTATGATGCTCGGAGGGTGTTGGAACGTCAGATGTCGTTCTACCACTATCCCAGAAGTGATCAAGTGATTGGTGCTTGAATGGGCAAAAGAATCTAGACTCACAATCGGTGAGGCAACACCCTCCCAGCACAGGTAAGATCAAAACGTCCAAGTCCATGTATATCCACCCGCAAACCCATCCGAAAATTCTTCGAAAGACTCCAAATTGTATAAATTCATCCAAAACTTCTCCAAACATTACAGATCCTATTCTGCATATTGCACACATTGAGAACTTTGAATCGTACACGGAGTTGTGATTGCCTTCTCCTCCTGTGTCAACATGGATGGGCTGGTAATTTTGGACTATCCAACACGTGTCCGTAAAATTGCGGGAAACCAATGGTTTCAGGGTGCCCCCACTTTGAAGAACGCGCCCACACCACAGGAAAGAGCCTAAATGTTAATCCGGGAGATTCGGGCGGGTCCATCATCAACGAATGCTCCAAAGCCCATATATTCGATGCGTGTCCATGCCCATATGATCGGACGACATTCCAAATCCAAATGGTTTTGTATTCCGAACCCATATGATGGAGCACTCTCCAAATCCAAATGGTTGTGAGTTCCAAACCCAATGGTTTTGTGCCCATATGGCTTTGTCTGAAACTCGGAGTATGTCCCAAATCCACTCATTAATCATCATCTCAATGGGAATTTCAGGCCCCTAAAATGGAGGTGCTGTACCATATAAAACCATAGAAATTGGAGGCAAATCCGCTTACATAGCCTAAAAAATAGGCCTTAAACATATATGGCAAAGACCTCCAAGAAATCGGTTCCCTGAGTGGCCATTGGTGACTGCCCTATGAATTGGCCTATCCACTGATCAGAATTCTCATTTTCCGGGGAAATTCCACATGTCCGACACGAACCCCAGCCTTCGATGACAAAGCCAGGCCATCTTCCAGTGGATCAGCGACTTTCCTTTGCTGGACGGCTTTCAGTTCTTAAAGGCCACCCTGAACGGCGTCCCTGAGATCTTCGTGGTGAGCAGCCCAGTGTCAGGACGCCGGAGATCGATATATATATATAAATATATAAATATATATATATAAATATATATATATATATAAATATATATATAAATATATATATATATAAATATATATATATAAATATATATGGGACATGCGGGAGATTTGTTATGGATTTAGATGGATTTGTATGAGTTTACATGGGTTTAGAATGATTTAGATGGATTGATGGGAATCTATGTTTTGACCCCAAATCCAAGTAGTCAGCCCCGGCATCTTCCTCCACTGACGGTTCGACCTGGGGGTCTGGGAATATCTGGGAGACACTGCTGCTTGTAGGAGTCATCATGCTGGTGGCAATTGGTTCCCTGGCTGATTCAACGTGCCATACTGCAATGCGCAACATCGCACTTTTTGAGTATCCGCGGGAAGCTAAAGTGGCCATGAAGATCAATGACGTTTGATTTACCTTCCTGCTTTCGCTTGCTCGCTTTCCCTTTTTTTTTGTGTTTGCGCAGATTTTTTCAAGATTGTATTCCGCTCTGTTGATGGTTCCTAGTTTTTGCTGGTCCTACAGTACACATTCATCGTTTCAATTTTTACTCCCGTTTGCCCATTTTCGGTCGGTTATGTCCACACTACCAAGCTTCAACCCATTGGATCCCACCGTGAGTTGGAATGGTGTGAGTTTTCACCATCCCCGTTTTTCGCTGGGGAAAAGGCCCAGTTTGAAGTGCTTCATGTTCACCAAATGATAGATATATCCACCACCTCTGTGCAGAGAAACTCATAAAACACTCACGGCCATAAAAATCTGTGCTTTCTTAAGCTGGAGTAATGACTGGCTGTTGGATTCTGTCGGAAAGCAAATTAGCTATTGATTGGGGGCCCCCAAGTCCAGGATTCAGTGGTTCAGTCGGTTCCATGCCCTCAGTTGGTGTCTTACCATATGTTTAAACTCCCATTCTATCCATTTTTGATGCTATAACCTTCATAGAACATCCAAAAAATCTAGAATTCAATCCTTCAATCCCTTTGTTTCATGGTGTTTTACCACGTAAAAGTCGCATTTTGGGTGGTACAACCTGCCTCGAAACTCCCAAATTTCCCAGGCCTAGAGACTCCGGTGGGTGCCCTCAGCACGCTGCTGGGCTCACTCATTGCGACCTTGGGAGCTGCTGGCTGCGGGGCTGATGTGCTCGATGTGAAGACGGGGAGCCTTGGCGCCAAAATCTACAAACTAGACGACGGATGGCCCGAGAGCGTAGAGGAGCAGGGTCTTCTCTTGTTAGTATGGAGACGCAATTTTAGAAACGATATATGAAAGATGTGTTATAGGCAGTCGAGAAGAGGAGTATCAAGACAAAATAGTGAGAAGTGCAAGACAATAGTTTGCATCGCAAACACTTTTACACACAGACGCTTTTACACACGAAAGCTTTTACACACAGAAGCTTTTACACACAGAAGCTTTTACACAGACGCTTTTACACACAAAGCTTTTACCCACAGAAGCTTTTACATACAGAAGCTTTTACATACAGAAGCTTTTACACACAGACGCTTCCACACAGACACTTTTACACACAGACACGTTTACACACAGACACTTTTACACACAGACCCTTTTACACACAGGAGCTGCTTTTACACACAAACGCTTGTACACACAGAAGCTTTTACACATAGACGCTTTTACACACAGGCACTTGTACACACAAACACTTTTACACACAAACACTTTTACACACAGACGCTTTTACACGCAGACGCTTTTACACACAGAAGCTTCTACACACAAACGCTTTTACACACAGACGGTTTTACATACAAACACTTTTACGCAGAAACACTTTTACACACAGACGCTTTTACACACAGACGGTTTTACACACAAGCGCTTTTACACACAATCACTTGTACACACAGACGCTTTTACACAGAGGCCGTCCCATGTACTCACAGCGAACCCTTCTGCACACACACCATTTTATACAGAGACGCTTTAAGACACAAACCCTTTTACACACGGACACTTTTACACACAAAAGCTTTTACACACAGACACCTCTACACAGATGCACTTCTACACACAAACACTTTTACACACAAACATCTTCACACAGAAACACTCTTACCCACAAACCCTTTTACACAGACACACTTTTACACACAAAAGCTTTTACACACAAACACTTTTACACAGATGCACTTGTACACACAAACACTTTTACACACAAACATCTTTACACCGAAACACTCTGACACACAAACACGTTTACACACAAACACTTTTACACACAGAAGCTTTTACACACAAACACGTTTAAACAGATGCAATTTTACATACGATCACTTTTACACACAAACATCTTTACACAGAACCACTCGTACACACAAACCCGTTTACACACAAAGACTTTTACACACAGAAGGTTTTACACACAAGACTTCTACACAGATGCGCTTGTACACACAAACACTTTTACACACAAACATCTTTACACAGAAACGCTCGTACACACAAATCCCTTTGCCTGCGAAAGGATTACTCCGGCACACGAAAAATCGCAATTTTACCTCAGTTTTTGCCGATCGACCCTCATTTCGTGCGAAAGGGTTGCTCCGGCACACGAAAAATCGCAATTTTACCTCAGGTTTTGCCGATCGACCCTCATTTCGTGCGAAAGGGTTGCTCCGGCACACGAAAAATGGCAATTTTACATCAGTTTTTGCCGATCGACCATCATTTCGTGCGAAAGGATTGCTCCGGCACACGAAAAATCGCAATTTTACATCAGTTTTTGCCGATCGACCATCATTTCGTGCGAAAGGGTTGCTCCGGCACACGAAAAATCGCAATTTTACATCAGTTTTTGCCGATCGACCATCATTTCGTGCGAAAGGGTTGCTCCAGGACAAGTAAAATCGCAATTTTACCTCAGTTTTTGCCGATTGACCATCGTTTCGTGCGAAAGGGTTGCTCGGGACAAGTCAAATCGCAATTTTACCTCAGTTTTTGCCGATCGACCCTCATTTCGTGCGAAAGGGTTGCGTTTCGTGCCGTCTCGTTTGCACTGCCCCTGCCCCCGCCTTCAGAAGAGAAATAGAAAAGAAGAGAGGCAAGAGGGCAAGAGGGCAAGAGGAGAAGATGTGAAGATGTGAGGATGTGAAGATGAGAAGATGTGAGAAGATGTGAGAAGATGTGAGAAGATGTGAAGATGAGAAGATGAGGAGAAGATGGGAGGATGAGAAGATGTGAAGATGAGAAGATGTGAAGATGAGAAGATGTGAAGATGTGAGGAAGTGAAGATGAGAAGATGTGAAGATGAGAAGATGTGAAGATGTGAGGATGTGAAGATGAGAAGATGTGAGAAGATGTGAGAAGATGTGAGAAGATGTGAAGATGAGAAGATGAGAAGAAGATGGGAGGATGAGAAGATGTGAAGTTGAGAAGATGTGAAGATGTGAAGATGTGAAGATGAGAAGATGTGAAGATGAGATGTGAAGAGGAGAAGATGTGAAGATGAGAGGATGTGAAGATGAGATGTGAAGATGAGATGAAGATGAGATGTGAAGATGAGAAGATGTGAAGATGAGAAGATGTTTTACAGACCCCCACTATTGGAAGAACCCTGCGCTCAGACGCTCTCGGGAAAAATTGGAGATTTCGAGCTGGGAGAAGAAACGCGTAGTGGGATTTAGACTTGATTGGAGAATCATATGTTGAATTTGGAAATCCTATGGGATTTCATTGATGATTTTCATGGGATTCTCTGGAGAATCCTTTATAAGTGGAAGTTTC